CTGTTCTGGGAAGGGTCTGGGAAGGCCTGGGAGGCCCGCGACCGCCCGAGCCAGGGTGCTAAAGGGCGGCAGTGGGACCCGATAAGGGACGGCGGGTAGGGGTGCAGCGAGGGCCGTGGGCTGCTCCTCCTGGGCCTGTCTCTGGAGCCCAGGAGTGGGTCAAAGCCTGCAGTGTGGTGAGAGTCCTCAGCTGACCGCGGGCTGGGGGGGCTCTTATTGTCACGTGGCCAAGATGACCTGCGGCTGAGGAGAGCCGGGCCGGGCTGGCCGGGGCACTCTGCGTGCAGAAGGCAAACGTGGGGCCTGGCACGGGCCGTCTTCCCCCGGGCTCCTCCTTCCTGGAGCCCGGCCTCCGACGCCCGCCACGAGACCGTCTTCACGAAGCAGAGTCCTCAGCATCACGTGGCCGCACTCGAGAGCAACAGAACGTAAAACCTCTCCTCTGAACAACGGAAGGGCCCACGAAGAAGTCACGGTAGAAATGGTAAAACCCCCAGAAGCAAACAATGTTGAAAAAGCGTCCTTCGGGCCCTGCAGGCTGTGGCCGAGTGGGGCTGGGGGGAGGCGTGGGGTCCGGGTGGTCGCTGGGGACCGAGGCCCGGGAGCCCAGCCGCCCGCCACGGAAGCAGGAAGAAGCACCACAGAACCACATAGTGCACCGTTGAGGGCAGAGGCCGGTGGCCTGGTAGTGGGGAGGGGTGCGGCGGGGAGGGCCCCCAGCCAGAAGCTTCCCCGAGGAGGCCAGTAACACCAGCAGTCTAGCAAGTCGGGTCACGAGAAACAAAAGCAACGAAACGCTGGGAGGTAAGAAGGGACGGGACTGGGTTCTGCCGAGGGGAAGGGGACAAGGGACACTTGTATCCCGTGGGCGCGTTCTGACCAGTCCCAGGACGGATGAGGGTGCACGTGGGGGGCCCAAGCGGGCTGCCTCCCAACACCGATAGCAGATTCTCCGAGTCTCTGGCCACCAGCTGGGGTCCTGCGAGCCGGCGGTCACTCGGCTGGCCCGGAGTCTGTGTTGGACTCCGCAGGTGAAGGGCTCAGCCCCCCAGGGCGGCCCCCACTCAGGGCGTCAGTGGCAAGTCCAGCAGTGTTCTGGAAACAGGGGGGTCCCGCGATCCCTCCTCGGGTTCCACGATGACCTGGATCGGCACCCAGAGCTCAGAAGGGGCTTCACTTGCTACTCCCTGTTATTAGAAAGGAGACATGTCGGGAATGGCCGTATTGAAGGGCCACGGGGCGTCCACACGCTCTCTGGGTGCTTCCCTCCTGGCACCGACATGTGGTCAGTGACCAGCCCTGCGACTGGAGCCTGCGTGGTGGTTCCCCTGCGTGGGCGTGGTGATCACCTGGGGGAGAGACTCCATCTCGCGCCCTCCCCCCTCCCCGGTGCTCTCTGCACACCTGGCCTCTCTGGACACCAGCCTCTGTCCCAAGGCCACCAGTCATCCCAGGGACACACGGAGACACTCTCATGACTTTGGAGATGACAAGAGTTTTAGGAACTGTGTGTCCCTAATTCATTCTGAATTAGGAACAAAGACCAAATACTCATTTTTAATCGCGTCACGGGCCAATTCTTGGTCTTTGACCAGATCCCTTATAGGAAAAAAAATCATGAGGGTCATGAGCTACTGGCAGAGTAGGAGACGCATTTGGGTCTTCTGTCGCGCCCTGTGAGGATGTCTCCTGGGCCGCCCGGCCCAGATCTTCGGGCTTCCTCGAGGTCTGGCCAGGCTCTGAAGGTGGGAGCGCACCTGGTCACCCTTGGCCGGTCCCTGTGGGCTCCCGGTGTCACGAGGCTAAGAGGCCGCACTGTCTCCTGCTTTCTTGGCGTGATCTGCCCGTCTGCTGTTACGCATTCATTATCCATCCCCAGACCCTCAGCTACTACTGTCCCTTCTCTCCGTCTGTGGTCTTTTTTTAAAAAGATTTTATTTATTTATTTGACAGAGATCACAAGTAGGCAGAGAGGCAGGCAGAGAGAGAGGAAGGGAAGCAGGCTCCCCGCTGAGCAGAGAGCCCAACATGGGGCTCGATCCCAGGACCCTGAGACCATGACCTGAGCCGAAGGCAGAGACTTAACCCACTGAGCCACCCAGGCCCCTCCATTTGTGGTCTTTGGAAGGGCCCCAGGCCCAGCTGCCAAGCCCCCTGCACCAGGAGCACCTGCCCTGCACCCACCCCTGTCTGACCACCAGACACTGGAGCCACTTTCTCCGCCACCAGCTCGGCCAGAGGGGGTGAGGGCTCGGCGTCCGGTGAGGGACTCCACGCTGGGTCTGAAGACCTCGCTACTGTTTCTGGATCCAGGAGAGCCCCGCTCTGGCCCTGGTCTCGTGGGCAGGTGCCTCTGGGCACAGGAGCGTCGCCGTGCCCGCGGCCCACAGCGCCCCTTCCCCAGACCCACCAGGAACGCACCCTGCGTGGGGGGACTCTCAGTGAGGCTCCACTGGGCTGCGTGTGAGCGCACATGTACGTGTGTACAACCCTGCTGTCGTTGCCCCATCCTTCTCTGCCGCACGAGTCCTCTGGGGGGAGGGCTCTCGGACGCTGGGAGCTGTGGGCTGAGCTCCTCGAGGTCAGGTAGTGTCTCCCGCTCCAGGAGCGCCCTCCAGAAGACTTCACCGCCGGCCCGTACAGCCTGGCCCAGAGTTCGTGTCCTTCCTGCCAGGACCCATCCATAGCCTCGGGACCTCGGCTGTAGGTCATTGTCACTGGCCAGCTGAGATCGGGGCTTCCCAGCAGGCCTGAGGCACCCGGCTCTCTTGGAGGCAGACGGAACCTCTCTTCTTGGCCTCTGGTGCCTCCATGGGCTCTCAAGGAGTGTATCTGGGCTGCCCCCACCTCTGCACTGCTGCCCCCACAACCACTCCCCTTCCAGGGAGCCCTTGGGGATATCTGCGTGCCGGTGTGTCACCTTCCAGACCTGGAAGGAATCCTTGTGATGGGCATCGACGTGTCCTCCTGGAGTGCACTGCTGCAAGTCCCATGGTCATTCCCACTGTGCCATGTCTCCGGGAGGGGCCCACAGGCTCTTAAACCCTGGTCAAGGGGCTGTGGCCAGAGAAGGCACCTGCTTCTACCCTGTATGGCCCCAAGGATGCTGCTGGAGGGGCAAGGCTGCCTGCTGTTCGCCGGCACCTGGTGGGGGACACCCCCAGGCAGATGTCCGGCATCAGAACACAGTCCAGGAGAAGAGGAGACAGCTCGATGAGGCCTGTCACATGCTCCCGCTCCCATAACCCAGCCCGCCTGTGCACGTGGCCTTCTCCAGGTCCAGTGGGGGCCGGGTCAGGCTCAGTCGTGGATTTTGCTGCTGCAGTGCACGTGGCTCCTGTGTCCCGGAGTCCAGGGGACTTCTCTCTGCACCCCAGCGAGGGTGGAGCCAGGAGCCTGCCCTCTGAGGCCTGTATCTGGATCAGGCATCTGACGCTCACGCCACGAGGGCCCCGGTCACTGTCCTCAGTGATCGTTGTTCCTGCTGCTCACGTCCCTCCGCCCGGCTGCCCCATAGGGCGCCAGCAGGGCTCTGTCCCCGTGGCCCACCTGGCCTCCGTGGTGCCGCACTAGGGCCTCTGTCCTGTCCCACCCACGTCTGTTTTCTCCGTCTCATTTCTTAATAACTGTCTGGAGAGGGGCACCTGCGTGGCTCCGTTGTTAAGTGTCTGCCTTCGGCTCAGGTCACGATCCCGGGGTCCTGGGATCGAGCCCCGCATTGGGCTCCCTGCTCAGCGGGGAGCCTGCCTCTCCCTCTGCCACTCCCCTGCTGTGGTCCCTCTCTCAGTCTCAAATAAATAAAATAACCACCTGCAGATTGCCATCCCGCCGAGTCGCTGGTGGACAGAATTTCGCTCCATCCCCTTTTCTTTCCTCTGGCTCCACCACTGCCGTGCAAAGACCACGGCCCTGTAAAGGATGCCAGCTTCGGGGGTTGTTGTCTGTAAATCATATTCTGCGAGCTGTAGAGGCAGGCTGACCAGAACAGGACCAGAGCGGGGTGCGCATGGCCGGGGATGGACTGTCCCCCCCAGTGTAGGACCCGTGAGATGCGGGTGTCCTCGTAGGGGGACAAAGTCTGCAGCTTGTTCCATTAGGTGGGAACGTGCTAGCTTTCAGGAGGCGTGTGTGCGTGTGTGTGCATGTGTGTGTGCCTATGATCGGAAACACAAGGGGAGGACCGGGGTGGGTACTTGTCACTTAGTCACTTTTTTGGCTGCTTGTCATAGAACGGTCCTTCTGTTTTGGAGGGAACCCCCCCTTTGTTGGTCCTGCTGGGGGCTTGGGATTCTTAGTGGAGGGTGCACAGCCTTGAGGACAGGGCACTTAGAGAGGGGGTTCAGGTGTCCGGGGGACTGGGAGTGTCTGCAGCGCCCTCCCACACTCACGCCAGATGTCTCGCCTTGAGCCCCGGCACCTGTGATCGCGGTGTCCCTGAAAGTGTGAGATTTCTGCCCGAGAGATGGAGGCTCCCTGTGGACCTCATGTAGCCACAGGGACCCTTGAAAGCAGAATGGCCCCCCACCATCGCTGGAGGGACAGGGAGGTCGGAAGTTCTCAGCTTGAGGACTGGGGTGCCCTCGATGCCTGGGAGACGAAGGCCTCTAGTACAAAGGACGTGGTTTTACGGAGCAGAAGACCATCTCCGCTGACGGCCAGCAAGGAGGGGGTCCGCGGTCCCACAGCTGCATGGACCCGTGTTCTGCCAAAAAGCCTGGCTGAGCCTGGATGGGGTGCTCCCTGGAGATTGCAGCGTGCAGGGAGCCCTGCCCGGCTCAGCCCTGGGCTCTGACCTCATGAGACTGGGCAGAGGGTCCGTTCCTGCCTGCCCCGTGGCTTCTCTGTTCTGACCACTTCCCAGCCTGTCCCCACAGGGTCTATGAGGGACCCTGATCCCTCTGTCCACTGAAACAAAGCCTGCTTCTCTGGGCTGGCCTCCTCCCGCGCTCCCCACCCCCTGCCCCCGTCCCTCTGCGATGTGGCAGAAAACACTTCACATGGTCCTTGTAAGTCTCACGTTTGGGCCGACAGAGGCTCTGTGGGCCCACAGGTGGCGGGACAGTTGATTCAAAAGGTGTCAGTCATCCTGGAGCAGCTGAGGGCCCCCCAAGGGTCCTCTTGCACCCGGGCAGCCGTGGACAACATCTGCTTCAGTTGGGGGCTGTAGCGTGGGGCTGCGTTGGGAGTGTCTGAAGAAGCTGGGCTCTGGGGCCTGGCAGCCAGGCACTCTAGGAAGCAGACAGGACTGTGAGAAGGTTCTAGAATGCACTGGGGCCAAGCAGGATGCCTGGGCAGGGAGGGACCCAGAAGGCCAGGGCAGAGGGGCTGGGGGTCCCGGTCTGAGTCCTCCCTGGAAAGCCTTTGTGAGGTCAGGTCTTGGTGGGGAGTGGGACCAAGAGAAGGGGGTCCCTGTGGGGTTGTAGGTGTGCATTCAACTCTCCAGCCGCCCCCCTCCCTCTGTGTGACCAGCCACCCCCAAAGCACCTGCCTTAGAGAATCAGCCTGGGCTCTTGGTCTGGGGGTCCCAGTGGCTGGGGTCAGGCAGCCCTGCTGGGGGCGTGGGAAGGGGCAGGGCTCTGTGGCCAGGGAGCCAGCCTGAGCATCTGGCCTGCTCCACCTGCTGCCGGCCTCTGGCCCTTGGGGGGTGGGGTGGCTGGGGGCCAGGCAGGGGCCTACCTCCGGCTCAGGGTGTATTTGCCCTTGCGATCCAAGCTGCCACCGGAGCGAATGGCGAACCAGAGAAAGGAGCTGAGCAGCATCGCGTATACCTGGGAGGGAGGGGGTGTCAGCTTCGGTGCCAGCAGCCCCAGGGGAGGGGTGCCCTGCCCCCCGAGGAAGGCCCTGGGCTCTGCAGGGCTCTCAGTGGTCTGGGGAAGGTAGCGAGGCAGGCACGGTCCCCTCCCAGATGCCTCCCTGGGGTCTGCAGCCTCCCTTCTGGCTCCCAGTGCACGGGGAGCCCTGCCGGTCCCCGAGGCCGATGACCGTGGCCTTGCATTGCGGTGGGGCATCCGTGGGTGGAGGGGTGGGAGGTGGGGAAGGGGTACTGGGGGAGGGCGCGCCTACTGTGATGGCGAGGCCGGTGCCGGTCAGGGCGCAGGCGACGTTTCTGTGCATCGTCAGGAAGCTCCTGATCTCCCGCAGGCAGTCCTGAGCCAAGGGCGGCTCCTATGACGCCCGACCTGGCTGTCCCCTCCCCACCCACGATCAGGGGCCTCCGCCAAGGCGTGGACCTCTAGTGCCCACCTGGGGCCAAGTGCTGGGGTGATGTGCAGTGCAGCAGGTCGGGGGGGTGTGCTGGGGTGGTACGCTCCACGCCCCAGAGCTCACACACAGGCGAAAACCCGCGGGAGGGAGCGGCTTCCAGGGGACGACGGAAGGTCGCTGCCCCAGGGCCCAGCACGTGCATTTCTTAGGCATCCTCGAGCCGCCTGGGCTGGGGCACGGGTCTGGCTCCCCCTGGGCAGGCTGGGGCTCCCTCACTCCCTGGCCCAGGGTGAGTGGAGGGCAGAGAAAGAGCTGGGGGAGGGGCGTGGGATCCTGGGCTCTCCTAGCCTCCTGCTCCATCCTGGGCTCCCAAGCCTCCCCAGGGCCTGGCCTCCACAGGGGCTCTCTCTCCAGGGAGAGGGAGGTGACGGCCCCATCTCTGAACCGCTCGGATGGCGGCGTGTGAATTGGGGGAAGGTGTGACATTTGGGGCAGGCCCCCTGGGATGTTCGGGGGGTGGGCTTCTTAAGGCTGGGTTGGGGAGGAAGAGAAGGCTCGCTTGGCATCTGTCTGGGCTGCCATCTGTCCACCCGTCACTGGACAGAGACTGGGCCCTCCAGCCTCCCTACTCCCACCTGGGCCTCTGCCCCAGCTGGAGTCCCAGCCCTGCTCACACCTGGGTCATGGGACTGACCAGTTGGCCTGGAGGTTGGGACCTCTGGCCCCCAGGGGCAGCTGGAAATGGTCCCAGGAGCCGTGGGCCACAACCCTGCAGCCTGACCCGGCTGCCCCGTGAGAAAACGGCCCCTGGTCAGCCCCTACTCCCCGTGTGGCCACACTTCTTCCGGGGGGGCAGCCTGGGGGCCTGACCACCGCCTAGGACACCATCCTCGCCCCACCCAGGCCCATCCCAGGGAGGCTCCAGCGCCCATGCCCACCCTCTGTGGCCTTTACAGCAGGGACCCCGCCATTCTGGGAGGCCACAGAGCAGTCCCTCAGCCGCTTTGCAGATGGGCACCCGAGGCCTCCCGCTGGGAGGAATGCCCTCTCAGGCCCCTTCCCGGCGTGCTGGGCCCTCCCTGCCGCACCCCTCCCCACACGCCTCCCTGCTGGGGCCAGTGGTGCTGGGTGGGCTCCCTCCCTTGCTGGGCCAGGAGCCATTTGTATCCTCCTGTCTTGATGTTGGAGGACGGCCAGGAGCCTCTCGCCCAGAGATAGGGGTGGGTTTGTTTCCCGGACAGTGGACAGCGGGGGAGGGGAGCCCGGGAGGGAGGTGGCTGGGGGAGGGTTGCAAGGGTAGCTGGGGGAGGTGCCAGGCCCCTCTCTGGGCCCTGGGGAAGAAGGGCCTTCTCTGCCTCTGCCTGCCACTGGCCCTCCCTGTCCCCTCCCTGGAATGTCCTTCTGGACCAGCCCCCTCCAGACCAGTGTCTGTCTCCCACCTTCCCCTGTGCTTCTGGGGGCTTCTGAGGGCAGGCCTGGCCTCGGGGAGCCCCAGGCTGGAGCTGGGTGAGGGCCGAGTGAGGTAAGGGAGCATGGGGCTGAGTCCAGCCCTCCCTGCTGCCTCCAGGAGCCCAGCAGCGAGCGGCACGGGCCCGGGGGAGGCCTAGGGAGGGAGAGCGCAGGGTCCGGGCCTCTCCTCCTCACCTGTCCGGCTGCCTGCTGTCCCTGACACAGACTGGCCTCCACGTCCCCCAGGAGGCCGAAAGGGGAGCTCTTGCCGCAGCACAGGAACTGCAAGAACACGGGGAGGGACAGGGCTGCGAGGCGGGGCTGACGGAGACAGTGCAAGGAGGCCCCCGGCGAGGGGTGCCCCGCAGAGCTGCCCCCAGAGGTCGGGGCCGCGGGCTGCCTGAGGGGCACTGGGCAGCCCAGCCCTCCCAGCCCCCGGGCTTCCCCCAAACTGTCCCCTGCAGGCTGTCAGCCCAGCCGCCGCCCCGTGGATGGGGCACCTGCGGCCCCTGCCTCCCGGGCTGCGACCCAGTGGCCACAGGGGCCTCGCTTCACACTGTGCCGTCACCAACCTGATGTTCTTTAGCAGTTTTGGACGAGAAACATTTCCATGTTGCTTTGGCCCCCGGATGAGGCAGCCAGCCTGGCCCGGGTCACGGGAAGAAGACAAGAGGTCTTTCCCCCTCTCCCCGCTACCAAGAGGGCGTCGGTGGCCTGTGTCCCGGGGACCCCCGGCTTGGCCTCTGGCCCCGGGTCAGCTGACTCTGGAGGGGGGTGACAGCACCCTCCATGCTCACCGTGTCCTGAATGGCCACCAGCTGCTGCCGCGGGGTTCCGGACAAGTTCCACACCGCCCGCTCATACGCCAGGTCATAGACGTCCAGCACTGTGTCCTCCACCTGCACCGAGAGCACCGTGGGAAGACCCCATGTGGGTGAAGCCCCTTCCCTAGAGACGCGGCTCCCCGGGGTGGGGCTGGTCCCCGTGAGCCGTCCTAACAGCCCCCTCCTCCTTGCACCAGGCAGAGCCCCCCAAGGGCAGAGCCTGGGTCACTGGGGAGGCTGGTCCCCAGACTTCCACTGCGGGGACCCCTCCCAACAAGAGTGACCACCACTGCCCCTTCCCGGGCTGGGCCGGGTTCCAGACCCCCGAGCCCTGCGGCCTGCCTCCAGCTCTGGTCTTCCGGGGCATGGTGGGCCTGACCGAGGGAAGGGTCCCCCCGACGTCAGTCAATCTGGATGGTGGGACAGGGAAGCCGACAGTCGGGCCTGGGCAGAGAAGCATGGAGGAGCTTCCTGCCAGGAGCTCAGCTCCCGGTGATGGTCTAGGTCTCTTCCTAGAGCCACTGGTGTGTCCCAAAACCCCAGGCAAGGGCCTTTGACCAAAGAAGCCACGGGCATCCGGGGCCAGCTGGGGGCAGACGAGGCAGGTAATGGGGAAGGAAGGGATTGATGGGGGGCCTGGCCGGGCTCTGCCCTAACTCTGCATCCCAGCATCACCCAGACCTTGTTGCCTACCCCCTCCTCAGCACCTCCTTCTGCCTGTGCTCACACTGCTTCCCGCGAACCCAAACGCCCACCCTTGCCAAGTTAGTCCCCCAAAGACAAAGACAAACTGGAATTTCACCTCCTCCAGGAAGGCTTCCCTGACTGCTCTGGCCTCAACAGTGTCCTGGAATAGGCCAGGCTTCTTTGCGCACTCCCCACCCCCACCTTCAGATGCCTCCTGCTCCTCTCAGAGACCCTGAGCACTCACTTCCTTGCCCCTTTTCCCACCTGGGACACAATGATGGCAGCTCAGGTCTGCCCTCAAGGGCCACGGGTGAACCGATGCCCATGCCTGCTCTGGACACTCAGGTGCTCCCCGGAAGGGGTGGCCATCCTGCGGGCAGCCTGGGGGCCGGGGTAGGTGGGCCGTGGAGGCCGTGGAGGCAGCCGCTCCAGGGCCCCCGTGCCTCCATAGGAACCCGAGGAACTTGCATCCCAACCCCCAGCGCCCCTCTTGGCACTAAGCGACCCTCCTGTTGAGACGTTGCACTGCAAGTCATCCCAAACTGGGTCAGCTGGCGTCCAGCCAACCCGCTGGGAGGTGGGAAGTGCCTTGGGCTGGAGGGCGGGCGTCAGGCTAGTGGCCACTCAAGTTTGAAATGAAGCCGAGACCACGAAGCCTCTGTGCCAGGGGAGGCTGGGGGCTGAGTAGAGTGGGCCGGGGGTCAGCGGGCCTGGGGTCAGCGGGCCTGGTCGGTGGGCCTGAGGTCAGCGGGCCTGGGGTCAGTGGACCAGTGGCCGAGACAAGGAGGCCACCTCAGACCACCCCCCTGGTTCCACCCCCCACCCCAGGGTCCTGGGAGTAGCCGGGCGCCCCGAGGCCAGCTCACACCATTGTAACGTTGGTGTAGGAACAACGTGCTGAGCTGGGGTCTGTCCCCACCACCCCAGAAGCTGGGGACACGAGCCCCCGCTGCAGGCAGAGATGCAAATCCTGCAAAGCCGCGTCCCTCACCCAAGACCCCCCCGACCTGGCAATGGGGGCCAGGCTGAACTCTTCCCACGGACCTAGGCATCTATCCCCCTGTACCGGCTTGGGGGTGCTCTAGGAGCCCAAGTCCCTGTTTCCCCAGGAGAAAACTGGGGTGGACCGGGTGCTCTCAGAGGCCACCAGGCCCTGCCACCTCTGAGTCTCTTGCCAGGGTCCCCCTCCTTAATCGTGACTTCCAGACCTCCAGGAGTGCCCCCTAGGATGGATTTGGAGCAACAAGGGTGGAGAGTGGAAGCTGGGAAACACCGTGAGGGGTGGGGCACCCCCTCATTGACCCCGGGGCCTACAGCCTGGCTTGAGGCCACGGAAGAACGTGGCTGGTCCCTTCGGACTCTATTCTCCGCCCTCCCGTCTGTGGGGACGCCCCAGGCCTCGGTCAGCACCCCGTATTTCAGGGTGCCTTGGGGGTTGTCCAGAGAGATGTCGGGGACAGCGGGGGTAAACAGGCTGGCCTTTGGGCTCTCTCTGGTCACCGCGCTGCCAACAGGACCCTGGGGAACCAAGGTGTCTGGGGCTGGGACGTATCTGGGCTGGGAGGGTCCCCGGGGAGGCCCGGAGTGGACGGCAACCCCTCAAGCCAGCCGGGATCCCCCGACATACTCCCACCGAGCTCTTCGCATGCACTCTGTCTCCGCGCCCCCTCCCCCGGGGTGGAAACTGAGGCTGGGAAGGCAGCTGGTCACATGAGGGTACCAGCTGGGGAGGCTGAGCCCAGTCAGAGCAGGCAAATCTCCCACGCCCTAGTTGCTTCTGTGCCCGCAGGGGCCTGGACATGCACACAGACCTACTGGGAGGCAGATGGGGGCCCCCCAGGCCTTGGACCCGGGAGGAGGCTCAGCCCCCATCTGGGGTCAGGCAAAACCCCAAGAACTGACTCCTGGGGGCCGGTCGGAGCCTGGACCAGATGAGGATGATATTGTAGGGCATGGTGGCAGGCGGTTGGGACAGAGCAGAGGCCCCGCTGGGAGCTGTCTGGCTTCCACCCCTCCCCTTCTCAGAGCAGGATCCCCTGCACAGCCCCTCCCTGGCAGGACCCAGGATCCAGGGCTCCAGCTATAGACACAATGTGTCAGGGAAGAGACGATGGGCTGTAGCCATCCCAGAAGAGCCACGGGAGGCCCCAGGGCACCCTGGCAGCCGTCCTGACTGGGCCCACGCACGCTGTCCCCAGACCTGGAATGGGCCAGAGCAGTGAATGGGAAAAAGGAGCCTGAAATTCCAGCCCACCCGGCTCTCCTTGGGCGAGCTGCTGGCCAGCCCCACTGAGGGCCCCAGTCATTGTGTGGGGACACCAACCCCGTCTGGCCTCGCAGCCAGAGGAAATGTCATGGGGGGTGACCCCAAAGGCCAGGGTGGGGGGGCAGTCTGGGGAAATCCTTGGGCAGGGATGGGAGAAGAGGCATTGACTCGGGGACCTGGAGGGTGGGCTGGATCCTTCTGGCCCTCCTGGGTCCTCCTGGCCTGGTTCCGCCAGCGTGACCGGGCCCCCCGCCCCCTGAGACTGGGAACCGCTTCTGCAGAACAGGGGCATGACTGCCGCGCTCGGCCTGGTGACTCAGCCTCGTGGACGCCAAAGAGCACGGAGAGGGAGAAGCGAGGCCCACCTGTGGGCCGGGGTGGGTGGGGGGCGGCACGGGCCGCCAGGACCCGAGAGGGTAATCACACAGCTAAAAGCACACGGTATGACCCAGGCCCGGTGTCGCGCCCCAGCTGCCCTCTGCGAGCCTCTGCTCCTGTAGGCCTCTCGTCTGGTGGTGGGGGGCGGGGGTACAGGCAGCAGAGAGGCTGGGGCCGCTGGGGACTGAGACACACACGTGAGGAATCATGCTTGTCACTTGCTACTTGCACAGTGTTTTGCCAGATGCTGGACATGTTTCAGGCGGTTGGGCCTTGGTTTTCCTGGGCTGGTCCTTGCGGAGTACATGGAGAAACTGAGACCCAGTGAGGGACCACGGACAGTCAGGGCAGACAGGGTCCAGCAGCAGAGCACTCCTGCCCCTCTCTGTGGTCCCTCCTGCAGGCCCTTTGGCGTCTCAGCTCGCCCGGGGGGCTCGCCTGGGTCTGGGCTCTCACAGGACCTTGTCCAGGGCTGGGGACTGGGGGAAGGCCTGTCCCTTGTCCCTTTGGCCTCAGCCAGGGGAGAAGCTGGGCTAGGGGCTGGCCCCTACTTGCCATCCTGCCAGGACCCCCCTCTCTGAGCCTCTTGGGTCCCTACTTCCTCTGCCCAGACAAGGGGCCTGGTTTTGACCCCTGGGTCTGGAAAGGGTCTGGCTCCACACACACACTGGCCAGCCCATCCCCCAGGCAGGCGCTCAGCCTCCCCTCGGGGCCCTGAATTCAGACAGAACTTCCGGAGGACCATGCTGGGGTCCGCGCCCAGGTCTGCGGGCTTCGCGCCCTGCTCATATACGGGCTCTGGGGGCTGTGGTCTTTGCGACTGAGTTAGCCCAGAGCTGGCGCCTCCCCCAGCCCCCCAGACTGGGACAAGGGCCCTCTCACACGAGTCCATCCACACCTGCTGAGCCAGGCAGTGCCCAGAGAATGGATGGGTCCACCTGAGTGGATGGATGGATGGAGGGACGGACGGACGGATGAAGGAAGGCGCCACCTCCAGCAGGGCGTCCATCCCCACCATGACCACGAGCTTCACCACCCCAGTCACCACCAACACAGAAGCCCTGGGAAGAGCCCACAATGGGGATGGGGCCGGGAGGACAGCCTGCCCCCCACCCCCGCTGGGCTGCCCCTGCTCCAGGACCGAAGGGTGGCTGTCCTCCTGGGGACCAGACTCTGACAAGGCCCAGTCGGCAGGGCAGTCCCTTCTGGGCCAGTTTCCGGAGCACTGACCCCTCTAGTCAATCCCTCAGGTCGGCCGGGACCCTCCTCCTCCAGCCCTTCATCCCCTTTCCAACTCCTGGCCCCTCCCAGGACCTGGCAGAGGGCAGGGCTGAGGGGCTGGGGGTGAGGGGGTCGGAGGCCTGCCCCTGCTCCCGCTTCCCTGGGACCTCCTGCCCCAGCCCCAAAGAGGCCTGGGCGTCAGGTCTCTGTGCCCCACCTTCAGGCGGGGGACATCCCCCCAGAATGGTCTCTCCCGGGGAGAGGGGTGACTCCCTGCTCACAGCTCACGTACCCCTCCCTCACGTGCCCCTCCGATGTGGGATGGGGGCGGGGCTGGGCGCTCACCTGGGTGGGGTTGTGGAATCCCCAGAAGACCACCTGTACCAGGGCACCGAACACCAGGGCAAAACACAGGAAGCCCTGGGACAGAGGAGGCGTGGGTCACAGGGTGCGGCCTGGCGGGCCACCTGCAGCTGGTCTCCTGCTGGGTCTCCTCCTGGGGCTCTGGGCAGCTCACTGGGCTGCTGGCCACACAGCCTCAGCGCCCAGAGGGCCCACGTAGGCTCCTTCTCACTGCGCCAGCTTTGTGGGGGCACCGCTGGCTGCCCCGGGCCGCATGTCACCGGTTGGGCCGACACAGCACCCCTTCCTGGCAGGTCTGCAGCCCGGGGCAGCCCGGGGCTCGGTTCTCCCCACCCAGGGGCCTCCTCGTGAAGAGGGACACCCAGCAGAATCAGTGACTGGTGGAGTGGAGAGATGCCTGCAGGCAGAGCTCTGCGCGGACGCGGCTGGGCAGGGCCGCACCAAGAAACCGTCCCACCAGCTGCTGGGAAAGGGGGCCGCCTCTGCCCAGCCCCCCCAACTCGGTGCCGGCACGGGGATCCGGCTCTGCTCAGGCGTGGGCAGCCCTCGCCTTTTCCTACTCCCTCCAGCCCGGGTCCCTGCAGGCCTCGGTGTCCAGGATCCTCCCTCCCCCTCCTCCTCATCCCTCTCCCTCCTCCCCCTCCCCCTCCTCTTCCCTTTCTCCCTGCCCCTCCTCCTCCTTCCCCTCCCTTCCTTTCTATCCTTCCTCCTCCCCTTCCCCCTCCTCCTCTTCCTCCCTCTTCCCTCTCCTCCTCCTCCCTGCCTGGCCGAGGGCCTCCTTCTCCATCTGGAAACCATCGCTCACCACTGCCTCCAGGCTGGAGGCCCTGAGCCAGCTCAGGGGACCAGCATTTTCCAGAAATCCTTTCCTTCCCCAGGAGAGAGCGCGTTCCCTCCCCACCTCCGCCTGCCTGCCTGCGGAGGGGGCCTTGGGCCAGGTCTCCTTCGTGTCCCCAGGGCCCGTGCCGCTGTGCAGGCCTGCTGGGGGCAGCTGGGCCCAGCCCCGCATTTTCTTGCTCCTTGTAAATAAAATACGTCAATAAATCAGCCATCCCTGCCAGCCGTGCTCCAGCAGCAGTGAGCTGGTTCATTTCCTGCTCTGGAGGCCTGTGCAAGGCCGGAGGGGGTGGGGGCAGGAAGGGCGGATGGGGGACAGCAGCCAGGTGCCCCGCAGGTTGGGAAGCGTCTCCCTGCTTGATGGTCCTTCTGTGTGTGCCTCTACGTGTGTGCGGATACACAGACGGGCCGGCACCACAGGCCCGCAAAGATGCACACGCGTGTGCGGGCCCCTGGGGGGCCATGGGTCCGGGGTCTGGGGCGGGGTCTGGGGGCAGCAGGTGGCTCCTGCCCAGAGCGGTCCGCAGGCCCTCTGGTGGGGCTGGGCGTGCGGAAGCGAGACCCCCGCCGCTCCTGAGCCCTACCACCGACCAGGGCTGCAGGGCGGCCCCCTTGAGCATCTGGGCGGGGAAAAGCAGGCAGGAGCTGGGGGGGCAGGACAAGGCAACCGGCAACTGCCTTCCGCCCTGGGGAGCACAGGGCTGTGACCCAGCACTGTGACCCAGCACCATGGCGTCCCCTGGTGGCCATACTGTCGTCCAAGCACGGGCCTCTCCAGGCCGTACCTGCCCTGAGACAGCCTTGTCCTCTGGCTCTGTGCCCCTCAGGCAGACCCCAAGCCTTAGGGCTCTGCTCTAGGGGGACAGTCGCCTACCCCACCAGCTCCCACTGGGTCTCCCTGCCCTCCCTGACTCCCGGCCACTGGCAGGCCGCCACGGCCAGAGTCTCAGAGCCTGCTTGCACCGGCACTGCCCGGCCCACGAGCCAGGGGGGGCCTGGTCAGGGCTGGAGCTGCCTGGTTCCACGCTGCTCCCTAAGCCCACTCCGGGCTGGCTGCCCCGGGCTACAGCTTTGGGAGGTGACTGTGTCCCCGCTCCTGCAGATGGGGACACCCAGACATTTGCTGACACAGGCTGGATGGAGAACCCTGCCGGCCCTGGGGGCCCAGAAGGCTGCCCTCCGTGAGTCCGGGGGCCTGGCTCAGGGGATCGTTGGTCCATGAGCCCCTCATGGGGTTGGGGAGAGTTGGCAGGAGCAGAGGGCTAGAGAGAGTGGGGGTCTGGTGGCTGGAAGGGGCCGAGGGAGGCTGCGGGGGTTCTGTGGAGCTGCAAGGAGACCGTGAGTCCGGGAAGCTGGAGGGACTGGGGTTCAGAAAGTCTCCCTCTTCTCGAGCTTTCTGGTTCCCCTTGCAAACCGGAGAAGCTACGGTCCCGCTCCCGGGGAGGCGGGAACCTCAGACGTTCTCCACTGTTGCCCGGGCCCCGGATGAAACCGGGCCGACGCCAGCATTGGCTCGCACCGCTGTGGGCGATTTGTGAACCATCTCCCGATGTCCGCCTGTGGCTCGACTTCCAGCACACCCTTCCCCGGCTTCTTGAAGGAACACGTACCCTGGACTCTTTTCCACTGTAAACCCCCAGCCCCGAGTGAGGGAGACACCAGCCTCCTGTCCTTTCCGAGTCTCCCAGACGCTCTGCCTGGGGCTCTCTGTCCCTCATTCACGCTCTTGGGTAAACTGTGTTCACTTTCTATCCCATGTGAAGCTGAGGGCCCTCCTGGCTGGTCCTGCTGGAGCCCTCTGGGTCCCTGGAACTGGCCTGCCTCCCTCAACGGGACTCTGTCCTGAGCCTGCGAGGAGCCCTGGAAGGTGCCAGGCTGGGAGGGCAGGTGCCTGGGGGCAGTGGGGAGCCAGGGAGTCTAGGTTCCAGTAGGGGAGGAGGGCCTGTGCCCAGAGTGGGCAAGACAGATGGGCCCTGGGGGGGCAGGGCTGGCGGCGGAGCAGCAGGAGAGGCCAGTGGGGACGAGCAGGAATGGGGGCAACAAGGGTCCCCTGTGGGGTGACACAGAGCCTCTCTCCAGCTGCAAAGGAGCAGGGTGGGCTCAGGTGGGCCCCCCGGGCACTGCACGAGCCCAGACCTACAGGTGACCTGGCCTGCGTAACAGAACCAGATGCTCCCTGGGCCTTGGGCAATGGCCCCCCAGGCCTGGGAGGGCCTACGCTGCCTTTCTCGCCCCCCCGATGACGGGGTAAAGCAGGGCCTGGCCGAGGGGCCCTGGCTGGGCAGGTGGGGGGCCCGGCTGGCAGATATCCTTCAGGCCTCTCTGTCCGGACACCGTGGGAGGGGCAGACTCCCTGGGCTCTCCCCCACCTGCTCCTGATGGCACCCCAGAGGCTGGGGACTGGGGGCAGGGAGCACTCACCCCGGCCATGAGGCCCCCGGCCTCCCTCACAGTGGCTACAGCACCCAGGACGGCACCAAGGGCCAGGAGCCCAGCCAGGCTGCTGGTGGTGTAGAAAGCTGGGCGGGCACAGAGGGAAGGAGGGTTAGGGTGCCCCGACAGGGGTCCCCAGTGCACAGGACCTGTATTGGAAATCTGACCCAAGGGTACACTTTGGGGGCGGGCTTCTGGGAGCTCTGAATAGACCAGGAACCCCGCTCAGGCCAAGGTGGGCAACCCACCACCCACTCCTTCTGCTTGCCATCCTCAGAGGCCGGAGGCAAGGAGGCCAGAGGCCCCGCCCCCCACTTCTGGCTATCTCAGAAACCACCAGGCAAGTGCGGGGTGCTCGTTCTTATCAGGACAGGCCCAAGACCCAAGCTTCCTGCACCAAGATTCAGGCTCCAGGGTAAAAACCCGGGGCCTAAGGGTCAGGAGGCCTGCGGCTGAGACCTCGGCCTGACTCTCTGGGCCTCAGTTTCCCCCATGGCTGCTCTCTGAGACCAAGCCCCCAGAGTGCATCCAGGTCTGGGCCCTTTTGTCCCAGAGCAACCCCTCCAGGATATCGGGGACATCTGGATGCCACCTGACACTCCCACCTGTCCCCAGGCTCCCAGAATGGGATGGGGCTGGGACCCAGACCCCTAGCTCTGCCCAGTGCAGAAGGCTGCCAGGGTGGCCCTCTCTGCCCCCATCCACTGCCTGACCCAGCCCAGCTCCTCTAGGAGGCCTCCATCTGCCCAGCCTGGAATGCCTCCCAGGCTGCCTTTGCCCTGGAAGCCCCCTGACCGGCAGGAAAACCTGACTTGACTTTACTTACCCCAGCGGTGCATGGCCTCGTAGGGGGTCCTGTTTGAGGATGCATGGCTGATGACAGCAAAGTGGGCCCCGAAGTAGGTGAGAACCGCCAAGGTGGCCACGGACAAGCCCAGGAGCTGGGGGTGGGGCAGACCCAGAGTGTGGGGGCAGGGCCGGACACAGGACGAGGCCCGGAGAGCAGGGTCCGGGTCTCCTGGGTCCCTTGACCAACCTCCCTCTGGCTTCGTGGTCTCCCTTGAGACGGGCTCAGCATCGTCTCCTCCCTCCTGTGCCAGCCGACACGGGTTCACCTGCCTCCCAGTCCCGTGCTGCCTGGTGGGGCCCACAGGACAACCTGCCCAAACAGCCACCTGCCAGTGGTCCACCGCCAGGGGCCCCAGATGCATGTCCCTGGGGCAGGGTGGGGACAGCAGGGCCAGGTGTGTGTGTGGAGACCACAGCACTAGAAGTCCACGGACACGGCCCCCCACCACCCCCACACCCCTCCCACCCGGCCGGCCTGTTACCAAGACAAAGAAGCTGGTGACCAGCATCTGGCATTTGGCGACCCTGACCCGACTCCAGGGCCCCATGGTGGCCATCTCTTCTCCTTTCTCCTCTCCCCTCTTCTCCCCTCCTCTCCCCGCCCCTCCCCGCCCATTGTGGTTTCCAGCTGGGTGGGGGCCTCAGCCACAGCTGCCTGCCCGGGAGGTAGGCTGATCTCTTAGTGTCGGCACACCCGGGGAGCTGAGCCTCTGGCTGTCCCGGAAGACGGAAGACAGGCAGGAAGGCAGGGAGGGCAGCGAGGCCAGCTCCTGCCACCCCCTGAGGTTCCAGCCCTGGCCCAAGGCACAAGGACCTCTGAGGGTATGAGCCCCCTCCCCAAAGGGCGCGGCCTTGCTCTTGGTGTGGCCACAGAGCACATCCTGGGAGGAGGTGGGTGGAGGTGGTGTGTAGAGGCCAAGGGGCCCGGGTAGGGGGTGAGCTTCTCGTGCCGGGAGTAGGCAAGCAGAATCTTGCCCAAGGCTTGATCCTTGGAAGAGCTGGGAGACAGGCTCGATTCTGAACGTCACTACTGGAGTATCATCTTCGGAAACACCATCGGAAATGTTCTGTGACGACAACATTTTGGGAGAGGTCATTTGGAGCAGAACCCTCTGGAGGGCACCAGGGTGGGCCAGAGCCCTGGGGCCGTGTGCCTGGGTGGGCCGCCGAGGGAGGCTGTGTCAAAACACGAGTCTGTCATCCAATTAAACCATGCAAACCCAAGGAAGGGGCAGGCAGTAGACACAGATGTGTGTGGGTCTCTGTCCCCTGGAGAGGACATGCAGTGAAGTAGCTGTCTGGGTCCAGTTTGGGCTGGTTTGGACTGCCTCGCCCCTGCTGTGGTCCTTGGGGCGGCAGGAGCTGCCAGGGGGGCAGGGGCTCACCTCTGGGCTGCAATCGCTCTCCTTCTGTCACCTTCTGTCACCTTCTGTCACCTATGCTTCTCACCTCTGGGACATGGGGACCGCAGCAGGGGGAGGGGGAGTGCTCCAGATAGCTGTAGGCGAGGTGACCCCTTGGCCTTCTAGGAACCAGCAGCTCTGGCCACCTCCTCCCACCCCCTATCAAGAGCCAGGGCAGCTGGTACCCCTCGTCCAAGCCGGTGACCCCAGGCCTCTCCCCCCGGTCCCAGGAGACCCCACCCTGGGTAGGCAGGGGCACAAGGGGGTCTCTGATGGCAGGTGCCTGTGGACTGGTCCAGGTGGAGGCCAGGTGTGACCCAAGGGGTGGCCAGAGTGAAAGTGGGGGACCCCGGATATGACACGGCATGGGCTATGAAAGCTGGCCAACCCGACCCTCTGTCCGTTGGGCCGAGCTGCTTGCCAGGGTCTGCCGCACGTGACTGTGGCTCTTCTCCAACTTCAGTGAGAAGGACAGCGCTGGGCAACCTGTTTCGGTGCAGTGAGGAGACCCCGCCCGCGGCCAGCCCCCCAGGCGCCTCTGCACGGAGTCTGGAGGGAGCCTTGCAGAGCCAGAGCTGAGCTGGGCCTGGGATCGTGTCCTGCCCCCACCAAGCATGCACTGCGCGCCAGGCACTGTGCCCGGGTGGCCTTGCGTGTCCTCCGAGAGCAGCACAGCATCCCTCGTGGGCAACAGACAAAGCCCAGCCCCTCTAAAACCCGGGCCTCTAACCACGGCCCCTTCTCCCTATACCCACGTTTGCCCCAGTGAACCCCCATCCCCTCGGCTGAGCCATGGCCTTCCTCTCCAGCCCCCGGCAGCCCAAGAGAGGACACCCATCTGGAGGGGAAGGCTCTGGCTGTGCCCGGCTACCAGTCCTTCAGCCACATGCCGACCTTCCCCGGGCGCCTGGGGTGGCCACCTACTCCTGAGGGCCGCGCTGACCCATGGGAGCCGCGGGGCACTGAAAGCATCAGGCCAGTTCCGGAGGGGCCGGCCCAGGGGGACCCATGCCCGCCTGCCCCCCTCAGACCGTGTCTTGAGGGTCAGGCCCCACACCAGCTGGTCTGGGCTGCCTCCTGTTTTCTTCTCCACGGAAGATGGGGGGCTTCCACGTGCCCGAGCGCACGTGTGTGTGTGTGTGCTTGCACACATGTGTTCGCATGTGTGATATGTTACTTTTGGGCCAGCAAACTCCTTTCTCCTTCCTGTCCCCTACCTCATCCAATAATGGACTGGTTCACCGGAAAGTGTTTGTCCCCGGAGCTCACTGCGAGTTCTCCCCATGGCCACGGTGGGGTCCCCAGAGAGCCCGTGCGGCGACACGATGCTGGACGGAAGCCCACCCTCTCCCATGGACACCCGGGGGCCCGGGCTGGGCTCATAGCCAATGGAGTAGAGGAGCAGGTGACAGAGATAAGACACTGCCGGCCTGGAGAGTCCCAGACACTGCAGGGACGTGCCCATGTGGAGGGGAGCCCCAGACCCACCCCTCAGGTGCGGCTCTCACAACCACTTCCCTCCTGGGGCTGCGGGATGGGAGGCTGCCCCTGACACGCACCCCAGCCAGGTGAGCAAGGCCAGCGTCACGGGGACGAGTCAAGGGCGGAGCACGAGCCCGGACGCGACGGCGGGGAGGGCACTCCCCCTGGAGTCCTCCTCCCAGACCCACAGCCCAGTCTGACCGTGACTCACACACCAGACAACCTCCAACGGCGGGGCGTCCAGTGTGCCTGGCCTGTCCCCCTCGGAACTGTCCGGGTCACCACAAGCTGTCACAGACATGAGGACTCAATGCCCCGGTGCCCTGGGTGGGAACCTGGGACAGAAACAGGCTATTAGGGAAAACCCGAGATGCTCAGAACAGCGCGTGGACTTCAGTGGACGGTAATGGGTCAGAAGTCGCTGATTCACTCTGCCACGTCCCGGGCCCATGCCCGAGGTCAGCTCCAGGGCAAGCTGGGCGCAGGGTAAGTGCGAACTCCGTGTACCGCTGTTGCCGCGTTTCTGGAAGCCTACAGGTCTCCTGCAATGCACCGTGTCCCGGAACGGTGTCCAGCAGCCCAGCCTCACAGCACAGAGGGGAGCCGGCACTGCCTGGCCCGTCCAGTTGCCTGCCCGCCCGCCCGCCGGCTCTGCACCCCCGGCCCCCACCGTCCATCCCCTCGGTCCCTCCCGCACCCTCTCCTGCCGTTAACCCCGCAGTGCTTCACAGCTCCCTCCTGCCTGCGGCCTCAGCTTGCCCAGGAGCCCGGGGAAGGGGATGCTGGCCCTGTAGCGGATCCTTCCCTCTTGGAGGCCGTTCTGCCTGGTCCAGGAGGCGGCAGCCTCTCCCCTCCTTCCTGACAGCCGCTCAGAGGGAGGTCTGCGGGGGGGGGGGGCGGCAGGGGAGGCTTCCCCACCCAGGGAGAGGGGCAGGTCAGCGCCTCAGTTCCCCCGGGGGCACCGCGAGCTCACCAGCCCCCTGTGTGGGGGCCTCGGTCAGCTAGGCCGATCCCCTGGTGGGGCTGAGTCCCAGGAGCCCTGTGGGGGCCACATGGGGACCTGAACAGCCTGTGGCCCTCTCTCTGCCCTTTGCCCCGAATCTGACATTTTCCCCAGCAGCCCTGACACGTTCCCACCTGGGGCAGCTTCCCCGAGCCCGGGGCAGGGCTGGAGGCTCTCCGTCCTGACTGGGTTAAGTCTGGGCCAGCCGTGTGCATTGCGTCAGACCGCACAGCCCAGGGAGCCCCGCTTCCCCCAGAAGTGCCCCCGGGCTTGCAGGGTACACCGTGGCCCAGACACTCCCTAGCCAGACGCAGGCTCAGGGCTCCGGGAGCGGCTCTGTCTCCCCTGAGACTCTGGAACAGAGACTGTCCTGACCGCGAAAGGGTGGGATGGGGCCCAGGGAGGGGTTGAGGGGCTCCATCTGCCTCCTGAGTGCCAGGGTCAGACTCTGGAGGGGTCTCCCTCCCGCTGAGCAGCCCCAACAGCACCCCGGTGTCCCTGACCAGGCTGCCTGGCCGCTGGGCTGGGACTTGGTGTCCAGGGACCAAAGGAGCAGACACGGGGCTGGGGGGGACAGGGTGTGGGAGGAGGACGTCCAAACCCCCCAGGTGCTCCCTGGGTTGGCAGGGGAAGTGGGCGCAGGAGCCAGCGGGCCTCACCCTGGGCTCAGGCCTCACCAAGGAGTGTGGACGGGACCCTCTCACCTCTCCCCTGGTGGTCCCCAGGCCCCTCTTCCCGACAAACACTTCCAGCCCACTCCTGGAATTTTCTCTAACATGTGCTAAGAGGATGCCCAACACCCGCCTGTCCAGGGAGGCACGCACGTGCCTCGGGGCCCGGGGAGCACCCTGTTCGTGGCCTGGCCCCACTCGGGCTGCAGCCCCACACGCTGGGGTGTCCCCTGGACGGGCTGCTCTGCCTCCCAGAAGCAGGGGCCCAGGGCCAGGGTAGAGCTGACAGCCGAGGGAGGAGTCGGAGGACACGAGGTGGGGAATTTGGGGGGGTGGGCTCAGTGTCAGCACCCCACACACCGGAGGCTATGCCCCCTGCCCCGATTCAGGGCCCCGGCCCCGCCCTGGATGGTGGTTAGGTGAGGGCGTGAGGCTGCGGTCCAGGACGTCCCTATCATCCAGGACACACGGAGAAGGTCTGCAGACCGGGAAGGGGGGCTTCCAGGAACCGCGTGCAGGGGCCCTGACCTTCGGCTTCCAGCCCCCAGACCCGCGAAAAGAGACCTGCGTGGGGATGGCCTGCCTACAGGGTGGTCTCGCGGCGGCCCCAGGCCGACTAAGCCGCGTCCATCCCACACTCACCTCCGGCGTACCGATCAGCCCTGAGCCGGTTCTGGGAAAACCAGTGAACCCAACAGACATGACCCAACAGTCTCGTGGGCCCGTCTGGAGGGGTGGGAGGCCCACAGTGGAAGGGGCAGGGAGGGCCGGGGAACACACAGGCCAGGCAGAGGTCCTGGGGACAGAGGCTTAGGCGTGCAGGGGTGGCGGTGAGAAAACTGGGAGGCGCGGTCACCTCCTGGGCAGGACCCCTGCCCAGCCTTCACCTGGCTACATGACACACAGTTTGGAAAATGTTGGGGACCCTCCAGGTGGCAGGGGGGATAGGGGAAGAGCGGCAGGAGGCAGTGGAGGCCTCAGGAGGTTGGCGGGCAGCTGAGCGCCCACTCTGAAT